ACCACTGGATATGTATTCCATGTAAATACATGAATTATTTGAAATCTTTATCAGATAATTTTAATAGAAGAATTTGACTGCTAATTTGGGCTATGTGCCCATTAGGATACAGATCCCAAATCAGAATTTTCTAGGCATCAGGCAAAGTACTAGCAATCAAGCATCCAAAGTCACCAAACTGATAATAATCAGTTATCAGATTGCTATCTGATAATAAAAGTCACGCAGTAAGAATGGAGTTAATTTTTCTTACTCTACCCATTAATAATCTTTTTCTCTTCAATACCAGATGAATTTTATAAAAGCAAAACCATCAAGCTACAGCTATAATATTTCTTCTCACTCCAGTCATGATAAAATCTTCATAGTTCAAAAGAATAGAAATTCACAGATTGTATTGTCCTGTGTCTCTCACCAAATAATTAAGAGACTCTTAAAATTTAGTCTTTTATTGTGAAAGGCCACTGTATTTCTCTAATTCCACTCTTGGATCTAATTTTAAGATCTGACACCTAGATAACATTCTTCATAACTTTCTTAGTTTACATTTCACAAGCTAAGATTAGGAGAGGCGATAAATTACTTGCTAGAAAAATAAGTTCTCAATATAGGTGAGCGTACTTTTCTTAAATTGCCTTTTAAGAAGCTATGTGAGTACAGGTTGAGCATCCCTAAATCCAAAAATCTGAAATTCAAAATGCCCCAAACTCTGAAACTTTTTGGGTGCCTACATAATGCTCAAAGGAAATGTTCATTGGAACATTTCAAATATCCACATTAGGAATGCTCAACTGGTAAGCATAATGCAAATATTTTAAAAAAAATCTGAAATCCAAAACACTTCTGGTCCCAAGCATTTCAGATAAGGGATATCAACCTGTATGTGGCTTGTGTTTGTGGGTAATAGGTGTTTGGGGGTAGCACAACAACCCAAGCATCCATCAACATATGCATGGACAAACCAAATGTGGTACATACGTAATGGAATATTATTCAGCCTTAAATAGGGAGGATATTCTAACACATGCTACAACATGGATGAACCTTGAAGACATTGTGCTAAGTGGAATAAACCAGTCACAAAAGGGCAAATACTGATGATTCTTCTCATGAGGTTCCTAGAGTAGTAAATTCATAGAGACAGAAAGTAGAATGGTAGTTTCCAGGGGCTGGGGAGAGGAGGAAATGAGGTTAGTTTTTAATGAGTAGAGAGTCTCAGTTGGGGAAGATGAAAAAGTTCTGCCGATAGATGGTGATGATGGTTGCACAAGAACGTGAATGTGCTAAATGCCACTGAACTATACCCTTAAAAATGGTTAAAATGAGCCAGGTGTGGTGACTCACACCTGTCATCCCAGCATTTTGGGAGGCCAAGGCAGGAGGATCACTTGGGCCCAGGAGTTCAAGGCCAGTTCGGGTAATATAGTGAAGCCTTATTTTTACAAAAAAAGTTAAAAATTAGCTGGGCATGGTGGCACACACCTACAATCCCAGCTACTTGGGAAGTCAAGGCAGGAGGACAAATTGGGCCCAGGAAGTTGAGGCTGCAGTGAGCAATGATGGCACCACTGCACTTCAGCCTGAGCCAGAGAGAGAGAGAGACTGTGTCTCAAAAGAGGGAGGGAGAGAGAGGGAAAGAGAGCTAGAGAAGGGGAGAGAAGGGAACGGTGGGGGGGAGAGAGAAATTGTTAAAATGGCAAATTTTGTTATGTATATTTTACTACAATAATAAAAAAAGTATAACACAGAGAATCATATTATCTTTTAAATAACTCTATGTTCTATGTGGTCAATTTTGAGGCATGCCCTCTACTATTGACTGTGTCTATTCTTTTCACATAATGGAGAAAATAGGAAAAAAATTAAGTATAAGAAAAGACATCAATGTCTACATAAGCAATTACTTTTGTACACATGGGTATTTAAATACTGCCATCTGCTTATGTCTGATATTTTTGCTGTACTCTTCCCAAATGTCTTTATCCATTCATTCAACAAGTATGAGCAGGGACTATGTGCTAAACTTTATGTAAAGTGCTAGAGATAAAAAGATGAAAAAAACAGTCTCTGATAAGTCCAGAATCCAGCAGAGAAGACAGATGACAACATAGCCTAAATGTGAAATGATTAGAATGCTCTGGGAACACAAAGCACAAAGCAACTACGTCTAGTTGGAGTAATGTGGCAGACTGCCAATTGTCCCCATACCTGTTCTCTTTTCTTCCATAATAATATAACCTTCCTTGTGGCCATGGACTAAGTTCTGGCCAATGAGATGCAACCAGATACATGGTGTGGGAGGCTTTAGGGAAGCTTTTTAAAGAAACAGCTGGCGTATGCCCTTTGTCTCTGTTTTCTTCCATACTGCTGCTTAAAACAAAGATACCTCAATTTTGAACCATGAGGACAAGGGTCAAATCTGAGAGCTTCCAAAGCCATGAGCTGAAAATTACTTCGTGGAGCAGAGATGTCATTTTAGCCCTACACTGCAAACTCTGAACTTTCATAGGAAAAAAATTCTCATTTTTAGGCCATCCTTATTTTGGAGTTTCTGTTACTTGCTACCGTACAACTAATCCTAACCAGTGCAGGGGGTCAGGAAAGGCTTCACAGAAAAGGTGATCATGAGCTAGGTTTTAATGACTGAATAGCTACATGCCAATGGCATTTCAGGCAGTCGCAAAGGCATGGACTCAGGAAAGGGCCTGGCTCTCCAAAAGACGGAAAGTGATTCAGATGGCTGATCACGGGGCGGATGGTGTCAAGTAAAAGACAAAGCAACCTGAAAAGTGGGGAAGAGACAGACTCTCAAGGGTCTTCCATGCCATGTTTAAAAGGCGATTTTATTCCTGGATGTGGTCTTATTAAATGACTAAGACTTAATTTCTCTGCATATGCTAGAAGAACCAAACGGCTCAGCTGGAAGACAAAGCAGTATGGATTACGTATGATGAGGACAGGGGTTCAGAAAAAAAAAATCTTATTTCTATAAGAGAAGGGTACACTATTATTTTAGTAAATACTGAGGACTAGAAGAAATATTATATGACATGAAGAAAAGATTATGTATGACTCTAAGAGTTAAGGGAGAAGAATATGGATAAATGCATACTTTGGTAATGTCTAGATTAAGTAAAGATTCAAATATCTGCCTATTAGAGTGAACTAAGGCCAACGAATTATGGTATAACTGTAACCGTCTATCAATAATAAAATTCCTTTTTATTATATGCCTACACCTGTATGTAGGTTTCCTTTCACAAATGGCTGTCATAGGTTAGTAAGTGATAGCTGAACAGCATCGTACTAGTAGCAGAAACTTGGTATTTGATGATCTGGCCCCTATCAAAGAGTTAGAAAGAAAAATCAGTGCTTTTAAAGGTTATTAAGAGCTTTAATTTTTATTTATACAAGTAGCATTCTTTTATTTTCTACAATGATTGTATATTATTTTTCTAATAATACACTTTTCTATATTCGTTTAATTATATATTTAATATATTATTAGTTTAATAATACATATAATTTTAAAATAATATAATTTTCTATATCAGTTTTCTAATAAAAAAAAACAGCACCAACTATTGCTCTACAGAAGTACCAGAGACAAATTACGGAAAGGGTATATGGCCTCTGTGAATCCATAATCCATTAATTATACTCTCCAAAGTTTCAAAGATCAGAAAATTCAAAAGTCCCACAATGTTTCCATTATTTCTTCCTAACTCTCCCTTAAGTACTACATTTTAGTCTTTTAATAAATAGTTACTGCATACCAATTACATCCTAAATAGAGTATGTGATAGTTTATCAACTAGAAAACTGTAGGACATGGTTTTTATGTTTTAACCTGATATTCCTGCCTTCAATTACTTTTAGTGTGTCATTAGTATCTTCAACCAGATTATGAGTTTTCTCAGCACCTTACTCTGTAACAGGCACCAAAACACTTGCCAAGGAGCACTGTGGGAAAATACTGATTTTTTAAAGAGTGGGATATATGGCTTATTTCATTTAGATGTGTTATTCAAGTCATTTGTATCTAATTGTAACTTTTGCTTGAAAGAATGTTACAGCTTTTTTTAACCTTGAATTTTACTTGCTTATTATTTATTCATCCTTTACAATGGTTATTTCTTTTTTTTTTCTTTTTGAGACAGGGTCTCAGTTTCACTCTGTCACCTAGGCTGGTGCAATCCAGGATCACTGCAGCCTCAACCTCCTGAACTCATGCGATCCCCCCCACCTGAGTTTCCCAAAGTGTTGGAATTACAGGCATGAGCCAACACACCCAGCTAGTCATTCTTTATTATAAAATAATCTGGGACTGGGCATGGTAGTTGACGCCTGTAATACCGGCACTTTGGGAGGCTGAGCCAGGTGGATCACCTGAGGCCAGGAGTTCAAACCCAACATGGCCAACATGGTGAAACCCCGTCTCTACTAAAAATACAAAACTTAGCTGGGCATGGTGGCGCGCGCCTGTAATCCCAGCTACTCAGGAGGCTGAGGCAGGAGAATCACTTGAACCTGGGAGGCAGAGGTGGCAGTGAGCCGACATCATGCCACTGTACTCCAGCCTGGGCAACAGAGCGAGACACTGCCTCAAAAAATAAATAAATAAAATAAAAATAATTTGGGCAAAAATAGGAATCTAGTACATAAAGAGGCCTTTGACCCATGTAATTATTTGCCAATGGATACACATTAAGATGTTAAAATCCTCCAATTATGATTCACCACACGATTTTTAAACATTGTAAGAATAAAGCTAACAGTGAAACTAGCTATTATGAAAGCTGGTTATAAATTCACCTGACTCATCACCATATAAAAGGCTAACTCTCATGGCCCTGGCCCTTAATACCAAGAGATGAAATTACAGTGATAATGATTTCTAGGAACAAAGAAAGGACACAGTTGCCAGTGAGCATCTATAGCTTTTACAATATTCTCAAAGGGGCCAAGCCTATTAAAGACACACATTTGTTCTTCCTTACCTCCAGATTCTGAGTCCAGCTGGCCCTGCTTCAAACTATCTTCCATGCTGCCTCCAGGAGAGCCACATAAATCAGCACTGGGACATGGTTTCTGTTCAAAATTCTTCAGTGGTCTCTCCCCCTTGAAGGATAAGATGTAAATTCTTTCAAGTGGTACATTGGGCCATGATGAATTTGGCTCCTGCCTAACTGCTAAATTTCATTAACAGTGTTTCTTTTTCTTTCCAAGTTCAAACTACATAGGAGTTTTCTGGAGACACGAGGCTTCCTTCTGCATGCTATTCCAGAAGCTGCTGTTCCCTCTGCCTGGAATGCCCTCCCTCTACTTATACTATACCTGGCAAAAATATTACTACACTCATTCAGCAAGTCTCAGTTCACTCATCATCTTCCCTGTAAAGGCATCCAAGACTCCTCCAGGCTGACGGACAGCTCTTTCCAGTGGTGTGCTGGTAAGCCAGCTCTCAGAATGGAATAAAAGCCCTGATACAGTTAGTTCTACTGTAATGTTTGTTTTGAAATTTACAATTTGTTTCAATGTGCTGGTTACACTAGGGCACAACATGAGCACATGAATCCCATTTGCTTATGTGCCATTTAACACTAGACAGATGAAATAAAACTGCATTCAGCCAGAGCCTGAACATAGGAATACATAAAACACACACCTCAAACATCTCCCAGCTACCTCAGTACATCTCTTATGTTACCAGCCACAGCCATCCACATCTGGTGTTAACTTTCCCTCAGATTTCAGGCAACTGTCCTTCCACCATTTCATAGTAACTCACAAGAGGCATCTTTTCCCATGACTATATTCAAAAGCAAACTTCAGGTCTTTTTAAAGGTAAAGTGCCATATTTATTGTAGTTTTTATGTTTCTCTTAACCATTTTAACATGTAAAACCAGTAAAACGGTGCTATCATTTTTATTAGGTTCCTACTTCTTTTAAAAATGTGTTACTGATGAAACTTTTATATGTTGTGCCCCAATCTTATTTTTCCCTACACTTGGTGATTTTTAAGAATGTATACATCTCATTATAGCAGAACTGACTGGATGCAGTATTTTGCTGGTTTCTGTGGTATATGTACCACCAACAGCACATCCACAGTACATATCTGTATCATAGCAATCACATTTTTGGCATAAGTCCTTTCCTGTTTATTTCCATAGACAGTAAACTCCTTGAGGGCAGGGTCCTTGTCTTAGTATCAATATTTTCTGGCTGTCATAGCGAAAACACCATAAACAAGGTGGCTTATACACAAAAGAAAGGTATTTCTCATAGTTCTGGAAGCTGAAAGTATAAGATCATCATAGCACTGGCAGATTTGGTGTCTGGTGAGGACCTGCTTCCTGGTTCAGAGATGGTTATCTTCTCACTGTAACCTCACACAGTGGAAGGAGAACTCTCATCTTTTTGGCTCCGTATAAAGGCACAAATCCCATTCATGGGGGTACCACCCTCATAACTTAATCACCTATCAAAGGCTCCACCTCCTTATACAATTGCACTGGGGATTAGGTTTCAACATATGAATTTTGGGGGGAATACAAACATTCAGTCTAGAGCAGCCCTTTCTACCTTAGTACTGATATTCCTTGAAGAGTATCCAGCAGATAGTATGCATCTTGCTAATGCAGACACCTTGGAGTAATGAACTTAAAATTGAATACAAAAAGAATGGCTATAAAGCCTATTTCTACAATGGAGAATTAATAACATCTGCTCTGCTCCAAACCCCCACCAACCTTATTAGTAAAAGGAAAGCTCAGATTTAAATACAAGTGTTTCTGACCCCAAAATTTATCACAAAAGAGACAATGGTCCATAATTAACCTTCACATCTGAATATACCTGCTAATCCAATATACTAGCCTACATATACTTCAAGGTAAATGAAAATTATGGACTAATTAAAAAAGCAGACTTTGGAAATGTGGTTGACAGATTTTTTCCCATCAGTTGGTAAATGTATATAAAATGTCTTATAAGAATATGCAAATTAAATGTAGTTATACATTTAATATTTTGTGGGAAAAAATTCTATGAAATAGGACCCATTCTCCAAATATGGGCCATTTAATCTTTTGGAGACAGAGTCTCACTCTGTCACCCAGGCTGCAGTGTAGTGGCACAATCTTGGCTCACTGCAACCTCCGCCTCCTGAGTTCAAGTGATTCTCCTGCCTCAGCCTCCAGAGTGGCTAGGATTACAGGCACCCACCAACATGCCTGGCTAATTTTGTATTTTTAGTAGAGATGGGATTTCACCATGTTGGCCAGGCTGGTCTCAAACTCCTGGCCTCAAGCAATCCACCCACCTCAGCCTCCCAAGGTGCTGGGCTTACAGACATGAGCCACCATGCCCAGCCAACCTAATCTTAATCTGAGCCAATCTCAAAAGTTACCCTGAAATCTAGGACAAACAGTATTAATATCCTGAAATTTAAAATACAGGGCATTACATAGCATAGTAGTTACCAGACGTGAGGTGATTTGTTGGCAGAAAACCGTATCTAAGATTGATTTCTTTACAGATACAGTCATGTGCTGCATAACGATGTTTGTGTCAATGAGAGACGGCATATATGATGGTGATCCCTTAAGATCATAACAGAGCTGAAAAACTCCTATTCTAGTGATGTCTAGATGATCCTAACCAGGTGTATGCTCAGGACAAATGTGTGTTTGTATCTTAGTCTTTAACAAAAAAGCCAAAAATTTAAAAAAACATTAAAAAGCTTATAGAATAAGGATATAAAGAAAAAACATTTTTGTACAGCTGTATGTTTGTGTTTTAAAATAAGTACTACTACAAAACAGGCAGAAAGTCATAAAGAATTAAAAAGTCTACAAAGTAAAACAGTTACAGGAAGCTAAAGGTCATTTTGTTATTGAAGAAAGAGATTTTAAAGTAAATTTAGTGTAGACTAAGTGTACAGTATTTATAAGGTCTACAACACAGTAATGTTCAGGGCCTTCACATTCACACACCACTCACTCACTGACTCACCCAGAGCAACTTCCAGTCCTGCAAGCTCCATGCAAAATAAGTGCCCTATACAGGTGTGCCATTTTAAAATATTTTATACTGTATTTTTACTGTATCCTTTCTATGTACAGATGTTTAGATATATAAATACTTGCCATTGTGTTATAACTGTCTAGACTATTCAGTACAGTAATGTGCTACACAGGTTTGCAGGCCAGGAGCAACAGGCTACGCTAGATGGCCTAGGTGTATAGTATGCTATAACATCTAGGGTTGTGTAAGTCTCGTCTATGACGTTCGAACAATGAAATCACTTGACAATATATTTCCCAGAACGTATCCCTGTTGTTAAGCAACACATGACTACTTTTGGAGCCCCTATTATATGCATACATTTAAATTTTTTAAGTCAAAGTATTTATATTTTAACTACTGTTGTCTTGAGTAACATAGAAAAGTGTGAATTTCAAGCTATATGTCAGTGATGTTAGTAAAAAATTAGATTTTAGCATACTAGCATATGTCTCAAACAATAGTGAAAAATCAGTTTCTTTTATTAAGGTTTTGCTAAGAAACTAAACCACACATAGTGCTTGTGAAGTTATACAGCATAGAGAAATGGTTCTCAAATTTAGTATGTATCAGGATAACAGACGGCTTGTCAAAACTAATTACTGGGTCCCACTCCCAGAATTTCTGATTCAGTAGATCTGAGGTAGAGCCAGAAATTTTGTGTGTCTAACAAGTTCCCAGGTTGATTCTGATGATGCTGGCCCTGGTACCACACTTTGAGAACCACTGGCATAGAGGCAAATGGCAAAGCTTTGGGGGTCAGAAATACAAATCCCTGGCCAGTGTGGTGGCTCATGCCTATAATCCCAGCACTCTGGGAGGCCGAGTTGGGCAAATCACTTTGAGGTCAGGAGTTCAAGACCAGTCTGGCCAACATGGAGAAGCTCCATCTCTACTAAAAATACAAAATTAGCTGGGCATGGTGGCACATACTTGTAGTACCAGCTATTCGGGAGGCTGAGGCAGGAGAATGGTTTGAACCCAGGAGGTGGAGGTCACAGTGACTGAGACAGCAGCACTGCACTCCAGCCTAGGCGACAGAGCAAGACTCTATCTCGAAAAGGAAGAAATACAAATCCCTGCTTGTATTTAACATCTATGGACATAGGTTAACAGTTTTACCCTTAAATTTCCTCATGTCTAAAATGAGGAAAATTATTGGAGAATTAAACAAATAATATATGTAATTAGTGCCCAATACATAGTAAGCACTCAAATGATAGCTATGTGTGTTGGCTGAATAAATGAATGTCATAGTTAACAGTACACATTGCTCCAATGCAAACCAAGATAGAGTAAAAACACTCCATCCTGTCTCTCCTACTGAATATAGCTACAAAACCCCGGAATGCTTGGAGCAGCTATTTAAAGACTCTGAAAAGTAAATGGTGGGAGGTAGATGGCAAAATATCAAAATTCAGTGGTAACATGGAACCAGTGTTAAGTTTACTTCTTTCTCCTCTTGTATCCTGCCACCTGGACTTGGGGAAAACCTGGAAGTGGAAATCAATGCAGAGATCCAGGAGAAGCCCTCCAGTTCAGGCTTAAGAAGCTGGGAAAAGGATCCTGGTAGTTAATAGTTGGGCGCCCACAGGTACCTAAAAATCTGAGGGAGGGAAACATTTCTCCACAATCCCAGAAGCTGTCGTTTTCAAGAGAGTGGGCAACCTCTTTCCATCGACTTTTTTTTCCCTCTCTGTACTCCTACCACTTAGCCCTGGATGTGGGTGCAATCACAGGAAGTGAGCAGAGTAGAAAAAGACCCAGCTTTTCCTCTCAAGGACTGAAAAGAGGTTGGGAGCAGACAGCATAAAGGAAATTGCTGAGAGGGAGGAACTCACAGAAAAGTGAATCCATAAAGTTGATTATAAACTCCAGGCTTCATCACAGAGTTGAACATGGCATGGATCTCAACCTAAACAGCAAACCAAAAACTATGAGAACTGAACTAAGAGACAGATTACCACCTATCTCAAACTGGAACAGTATCAAAGTGATACTGCACACAGGACAGACCCAAACAGCAAAGCAGTACAGGCTCTGAAAACAAACTGTCATTGAAATCACCACCCACAGAAAGCTGGCTGCAACTTGAAGGTTGAACCTAACAGAGTCAACTGACTGCTAAAACACAAATAGCAACATTCTCCATGGAATTTAAGTAAGATCCAGAGTCTTATAATGTAATATTGAAAATGCCCAGGATGCAATCTAAAATTACTTGGAATATGAAGGACCCAGAAAATATCAGCTTGCATGGGACAATAAACAGACAACAAAACTGAGATGATACAGTGTTTGAATTATCTGACAAACACTTTAAAGCAGCTATTATAAAAATGCTCCAACAAGGGAAAACACTCTTGAAACAAACAGGTCTCAGCAAATAAACAGAAGCCATGAAATAGAATAGAATGAAAATTTTAGGCTGGGCGCGGTGGCTCATGCCTGTAATCCCAGCACTTCGGGAGGCTGAGGCAGGCAGATCACCTGAGGTCGGGAGTTTGAGACCAGCCTGACCAACATGGAGAAACCCTGTCTCTAATAAAAACATAAAATTAGCTGGGCATGGTGGTGTATGCCTGTAACCCCACCTACTCCGTAGGCTAAGGCAGGAGAATAGCTTGAACCCAGGAGGCAGAGGTTACGGTGAGCCGAGATCGTGCCATTGTACTCCAGCCTGGGCAACAAGAGTGAAACTCCGTCTCAAAAAAAAAATTTAGAACTGAAAAATACCGTAACTGAAATTAATCACTGGATGGGCTTAATAAGCAAAATGGAGATGACACAGGAAAGTCAGTGAACTTGAAGATAGACTGGTAGAAACGATCTAGTCTGAACAAGTGAAAAACAGTGAACAGAGCCATAAGGACTTTTGGGATATCAAAAGGTCTGGTATTCGTGTCATTGGTATCCTGAAAGGAGAGTGAAAGAGAGCAATGAAGAAAAATATTTGAGGAAATAATGGCTGAAACCTTTAACAAACTTGGTAAAAGATACAATGTATATCAGATTCTAGAAGCACAGAGAAACCAAGTAGAACAAACCCAAAGAGGGCCGGGCGCAGTGGTTCATGCCTTGTAATCCCAGCACTTTGGGAGGCCGAGGCGGACGGATCACAAGGTCAGGAGTTTGAGATCAGTCTGGCCAGTATGGTGAAATCCTGTCTCTACTAAAAATACAAAAAATTAGCTGAGCATGGTGGCGCGCGCCTGTAATCCCAACTACTCAGGAGGCTGAGGCAGAAAAATTGCTTGAACCGGAGAGGTACAGGTTGCAGTGAGCTGAGATTGCGCCACTGCACTCCAGCCTGGGTGACAGAGCGAGGCTCTGCCTCCAAAAAAAAAAAGGATTAACCCAAAGAAACCCATGCCCAGACAGTCAAACTGGTAAAAAATAAAAACAAAAAATTTTGACAGTAGCAAGAAAAAAAAAAGTGATGCATTACTTACATACATTATACATTTTATAACTTGACTGCCTATAAATTTCTAACCAGAAACAATGCAGTTCAAAAGGAAATAGCACATTTTTAAAGGGCTGAAAGGAAATAACTGTCAACTTAGACTCCAGGGAAGTAAGCAAAATGAGGACACGTTTGGATAAAGGTAAAATTATGAGAATTCACTGCCAGCAGACCCACTCTGAAAGAGTTACTAAAGGATAGAAGAGAAAAGATATCAAGGGAAAAATGTATTATCTATAATTAAGGAAGATCAGAGAAATGGTAACCATCCAGTGGATGCTGAGATTTAAAAAAAAAAAAAACAAAACACACAGTAACCATCAGGTTGAAAGCAGAAACTATATAATTATCTGATGGGGTTTTATATGTATGTAGATGTAATATAAAAGACAATACAACAAACAAGGAAGAAGGCAGAGAAATATATATGGTGTTAAGATTTCTACAACCCACTTAGATGGAAAAATACTTATTCTAAATAGACTATACAAACTTAAATATATATGTTATAATCTTAGAGCAACTACAAACACACACTATAATGAGATGTAATAATTTTTAAAAACCCACAATAAAATTAAAATAGAAAACTAAAAACTGTTTAAATAACTCAAAAGACA